CGCATCACTTGGAAAACGGATTTCAATTTCATTTTTCATATTTGCGTTGCTTGTTATTGAAAAACAGATTGGAGTTTTTTGAATGCGTGTACTTTAGTGCCAACCGTTTTTCGATGGCATAAAGAAATGGAATTCAAATTTCATTTTTATTTTTCGTTTTTCTTCGGCCTTGTAAAATGGAATTCCATTTCCATTTCTATTTTTCGTTTTTTGTCTACTTGTGACATTGAAAAACGGATTTGAATTTCGTTTTTCGTTTTTCGTTTTCGCCGCACTTTGAAAAGGGGATTTGAATTTCGGTTTTTGATTTTCGTTTTCTCATCACTTTGAAAAACGGATTTGAATTTCGTTTTTTGTGTTCCATTTTCGCATCACTTGGAAAACGGATTTCAATTTCATTTTTCGTATTTGCGTTGCTTGTTATTGAAAAACAGATTGGAGTTTTTTGCATGAATTTGAAAAGTCGATTAATCCACCAGTCATTTGAAACTCCACCCCCCTCTCCCTAAGGGGATGACCGGGGTAAAGAGGGGCCTTTCACTTCACAATCACCCCATTTTTATTCCCCGGTAGGCGGCGGATACGCTAGAAATCCCGGTCTTTGCCTACCTGACCGAGGAATAAGCAGGGCAGTCACTCTGTGGTAAGCGTTTCCATTTTCGCGACGCGTAGTAATTTTGCATACATTTTTATCGCTTCTCGCAGCTGAAGAAATACATGTGTGCTTTGTAAAGTGTCTTTTGACACGGCTTACATAAGACAAGTCTTAAATAAGACACAAACTGTACCATTTATACGAGCATATAAGGAGTGTCTTAGCTGAGTCCCGTTTTATTCAAGTCTTGAAACATTTTTGTGCCACTTATAGGAGAAGTGAACTAGACGCGTCTTATTTTTCCCCGGTCCAAGTGGCCCAATTGTTTAATAAATTATGATGTAGTAATTTGTTGTATCCTGGAAATGACGACAAGAAAGACACTTTGCGATGACTGAGTCAGTCTCCAAAAACTCCAGAAGACTGTGAAACTTGATTTGTAATTTTTTGTTATCTCGCATTTTGTGACTTCAAGTTGTAAAGTGTTCAAATGTGCGTCATTTTCCTTCTCCATCGAGGATATGCAAGTGTTGCGATAGCTGCGTGTTTTTTCGCGGCTATCATCATATCATTTGTCATCCATTGTTAAAAAAGGGAGTACTGTGAGTGTGTAAGACATGTCATGGGGGGGAGTTTACTACTCACTTTGGCCCCGGAGAGGGGAAAATTCACTTACTTTCAGTTACATAAAAAGTGAATGCCCCGGTCAACCCCCAGGGGGTGGCCGGGGCTTCAAATGACTGAACTGGTGCAGTGATCCGTTTTTCAAGTCATGTTAAAATGACAAACGAAATTCAGATCTTTTTTTCAAAGTGATCAGAAAAGGAGAAACGAAATTCAAATCCGTTTTTCAAAGTGATGCGAAAACGAAAAACGAAATTCAAATCTGTTTTTCAAACTAATGCGAAAACGAAAAACGAAATTCATATCCGTTTTTCAAAGTGATGCGAAAATGAAAAACGAAAACTGAAATTGATATCCGTTTTTCTAAGTGATGCGAAAACGAAAAACGAAATACGAAGTTCAAAACCGTTTTTCAAAGTTAGGCGAAAACAAAAAGCAAAATTCAAATCTGTTTTTCAATGCCATGCGAAAACGAAAAATGGATATGCCATCGAAAAACGGTTGGCACTAAGGTAAATAAACTATAATATTTGTGAAAACAAAATACATTTGTCTCTTTGCGACTAGATGGCGGAATTTGTCAATTTATGCCCTTTAGGACAAGACCGGAATTAAAAATGGAGCATTAATTACAAAACGATCGATGCGGTTTGAAATGGCCAGCTAACGTCAGTAAATGAGATCACGCCTGCTGTTTTTTGTCAAACATTTTTATTTGTCAGCCCGATAATAAGCCGGCACCTCTGGTGACAAAAAACTGTCTTTTTTGCGTTTGAATTTGACTTTTTTGGGGGAGAAGAGTCCTCCTGAAAATATATCGAAACATATTCTGCGTTAAATCTTGTCTGAGTTTTAATTGCTGGGCGTATTTGGATCTTCACAGGCAAACAACTCAGACAACTGAAGAAGCGAACAGCAGAACGCTTTTAGCCACCAAAAGTTAGGAGACGTACAACTGATCAGAAGAGCTGAAAATTTTGAGGAAAGAAAATGTAACTTTTAAACAACAAGAATAATATGGAGGTTGGAGGCGATTTTTCCTACATTATTTCTTAGTTATTTCAGTGATATTCTTACTATGATCATGATCAGCGTGAGTGCAATATTCGTGTTTACTATGTACTAAAACAGTGGATAGTGTTTTTCGCGCGCTCTGATTGGCTACTCAATCAGTGACTATCCTGCACTTATCCTGCACTATTCACTGATTCACCTCCAGTTCCTCCGAGCGAGCGACGTCAAACCCACGTAGGTTGCGAGCAAAATGCCTTCCCGGCTTGCTGCCCTGATAAACTAAGAAATTTCACAACTAATCAAGCCGTGAGCTATTTCCGAAATACATGAAGAAGGTGACGAAGTTCGGTTTGGAAGTTTTAACAGGTAAAGCTTTATCTTTTTGACTTGAATTTATCGATAAAACCGGTGAAAAAGTTTTTTGTTTATTTAGTTGACTTGTTCACAAATAAGCTTAAAACTAAATTTAATAATCTTTTTTTACAGAATTATTTTTTAAAAATACAAAAAGAATTCACAACTCCTTTTGAAGAAACTTCCCCGCAAGGGCTAAACAAACGCCTTCAAAAGTCTTATTTGTCGCTAAGAAAAAGCGACGACCGCGGCCGTTCGGTAATGGCGCGCCAAAATTGTAATCGTTGGCAACAGTAAATGAGTTAAAAATCATCATTTTTGTGATCAATTATCTCCCTGTTTTAGTATATACTAAAACAATTATTCACCCCCGGGGGGGGCACTGCCACATATGGGCTATATAGGTATGTGCCGCTGTGAAGGGTATGGTTTTCAAGCAGTTTACTTCGATGTATCAATGACCTTTTCCATTCAGAATTTTCTTCTTTACCGTGTTGCACGGTTTTGATAACGATTTCAGCTAGAGTGATTGGATTGCGTTCACTGGAAAGTGATGTTTTTTACAATTCTTGACCGGCGGAAAACTGCAAACATTTTCTCCATCAGCGACATGTGCTATATAAATAAAAAAGAACGAAAAATATCGGGTGTTGCATGGACACTACTGGACACAGAAGAACACCGACTGATCATGGCGACAAGACGCAAGCTTAGCACACTTTCCCTTCGCCTAACGAGAGACTTTCTTTTTTTTAATGAACACATACTCGGACCCATGATGTAGATAATTTATAACCAGTCTTTATGTTAACCTTGATATCCATGAGTTTCTCTATTCTCTAGTCGGTTTCGACCGGTCCACCCTTTATTTATTTACTCTATTTGTTTATTTATCTATATTATAATTATTTTCTTCCCAAAACGACGATATATTTTATGTAATAAGAAATTCTATTTTTTTATTGATTGAAATATTTCTGAAACTTGAACTAGAATCAAACTTACACAACTGAGCAAAATGCTGCTCGGATCTTTCTCTGAAAAAAAAAAATGCATTGTTTTGAAGGGAAAGAAGTTATTTTTTTCAGTAAAACAACCATGTCATAGAACAGATTCAAATTTCGTTTTATCCATGTTTTCTCAGGAAATATATTCAAAATTTTATGTGGTATTCACGCCTTACAAAAATGCAAAAATAAAAAAAAAAACTTCTGGAAAGATGTAGTGTAAAGAAGTATTTTTAAGACTGCAGCTAATAATTGGCTTCGATTTTTCTATTTTTTTGGTTCTAACTCTCGGTCTCCGCGGTCTCCCAGAAAGCCTGAACAGGCTTTTTAAAATTGACTTTGTTTGATCGAATAAACGCCAGGGTGATCTGCGAACGGACCATGTAATTCCCTGGGGTACTTCTTTATAATAATCTGTCTCCGTCTCTGTGGGAACTCCTGTATTGAAGTTTCTGGTAGGATCATATCATTATGTAGATTAGCTGCATAGATAATTAACGTTATTGTCTGCAGATAGGAGAGAGATTTTATCCCCAGTTTTTACCCTGACCAGGGCAATGCATATATGGGAAAAGGGGTAAGGGATTTAAGGAATTATATGCATCGTGGCATCACCGGCATATTCCAGTAGGCTTTGAAAGATTGGACTAGCATAATTTTTGGCACAATTTGTAACCACGAGATTAATTTTCATTTATTCTTCGAAAAAAAAAAAGCACTACTAGCATAATTTGCATATTTTGTTATAATTTTGCAGTACAAAAATTGTCATTTATCGAACATGCAACCAATGTTTTTGGTCCGAGATCTGTGTTTCAGGCAAATCTAAGTAACGAATTCATTTATTTGTCTGCTTATTGTCACATTATGGGACCTGGGTCCAACAGGAAGTGACTCAGGACTCTCTCCACAAAACTCAACTTACGGACATAACTAGC